GCAGGGGGTGGTCTAAGCCGACAGCAGTCGCGTGCTCAGCGGCGCTTGTGGCGGTCAGTCACCTGCAGGAGGCCGTCTAGCCACGTCCCACGAACATCCGACCGCGCACTGCACGCACGACAGCTTTATGCGTGCCAGGATAAAACTAACCAAAATCGTGGATTTAATTCAGTGTATGCTCTAAGTACGAGACCACAAGTTACATCAGGAGAAAGCGGGGAGCAGAAGCACAGGTGATCTCACTGGGAGTCTGTCACGCCATAAGACGGTGCGTCACGGGGCGTGTAACGTGACACCCGTGACAGCCACCCACAGCGGCGGTAGCGTCACACCGCATCTCCGGCCATCTCCGCGACCGCAGAGAGGGAGGAGAGGAAGGGAGAGGGGAAGGAGGCTAAATGGGCGGAGATATGGAGAGGGGAAGATCAGTCACTCGGGCGGTCTGGCGAGCGGCCAGCGGTGGACGGGGGAGAGGCGGCGATACAGCTGGCCCGTTGCACCCTCTCCCCTCACCCTTCTCACATCCTGCGGCAGCCGCACGCAATGTGTCACCGTGACGGGAACAGCCGACGGGCCCGACGAGCCTCACTTGTCACCGGTGCGGCACATAGGCTTGTCTCCGGAGCCGTCAGCACCGACCACAGTTCTGGGGAGACGCGAACAGCACCCTTTACGAGGCCATCAAATTAGTGGCGACGCGGCGCAGCGCGCTAAGCAACGCCGGCCGACAGTGCTGCCTGCAGCGGGACTGGAACGGCGGCGGTCCACTGACGCCCCAATCCGCGGCAAATGGCGCAATCCAGCGTTGCAGCTCACACCAACCGAGCCAGTCACAGCTGCAGGGTTCGAGAGAGACGGCCGGTCGCCGGAAAATGTAGGTTTGTTGAGGAGCGGCCAAATAGAGCGGAGAATGTTTGATCAACGCCGCAGACCGACAGTCGGAATCCCAATGGCTTCGGCAGCGGACCCGCAATACAGGGAATCGGTACACAACCTCCCCAGAGACGACGCGCGGCCGGCCACGTCGCTCGGCTGACCAATTGAAACGGCCCTGAGGCGGATCATTCCCGGTGAAATGGTCACTCGGGCCGGCCGCGTGGGCAGCGGACAGCTGCGTCGTACGTGCCCGGGTCGTTCAGTGTCTGCAGTAGCCACCTCCGACCTGCCCCGCACGTCAGCTGAAGTCGTCCCACCGCTGACCTACCGCTGACGGCCATCAGCAGCAGAAGTCAGCAGCAGTCAGCGCCCACAGACCGCCTACCGAGCGAGAGACCCGGTCAGTCCGTCCGGCCGTGACCCGCCTGCACCGCTCGTGCCGACCCCATGTGTGACCCCACCGCCGGACGCCGCGCCGGTGGCTGCGGGAGGCGGACCGCGCCGCCCACCGCCTCCGAGCGCCGATAGGATGGACCCGTGTCGTGACGACCGCTCACGCACGGCCAGCCTCCACCGGAGAGAGGCGCCCTGTGGCCGCAGCGAGCGCAGGCCACGCACAAAAACACAGCACCGCAAAAAGGAGGCGCGCGGGCTGCTGGCCAGTCGGGTCACCGGACAAAGGACCGGAGAGTGCACATACAGAGGGTATCGGCGGGCCGCCAGCAGCGCGGGGAGGGGATGCAGTCGGTGAGCGGGTCCCGCAGCAGTCAGCGTGCGCCCGGCCCGCGGCGGAGGGGTGAGCCAGCACTCCTGCAGCCACGGCCGCACGCAGCGCGCTTCATATTCAACCGGAGCCATCAGCGCGAAACAACGGCCGGGTCCGTGCAGCGTCATCACGCCAAATCGCCACACTCAGTCACCGACTGGGGGAGTGGGGGCCGTGCGGCGCAGTCGAATCACTCATCGGTCCTCGCTCCTGCCCCCTCCCGGCCGCATAAAAACCGGATCACCGGCACAGCAGTGGTCCGGCCTGCGCTCACCGATGGAGCCACGGGACTAGCAGAGAGCGAGCAGCAAACGAACAGGCCCCGACGGTCGTGTTTGGTCTGACCTTCTGGCCAGTTTATGGCTGGCACTTACCGCGCCTCCGCTCCGCCCGACGGCCGCGCCGGTGGCGCCAAATTTAGCTCTCTCGGGCGGCGGCAGCACGCCAGCATTGTTCATGTGAGCCCATCCGATGAGTAGATCTGGCCCGGTCGCGGTGAGCCGCGCCGCACGCCGGACCAGTCCCAGAGCCTCAGAACAGGGTGGGTCGGCCCGGTGATCTCCGGCGAGTCACCGACACGGGTCTCCCAAATCGGCTCAGCTCCCCACCTCCGCGCGGTTCACCGTTAGCGCCCGTGGCTGACACTCCCAGCAGGGTGATAAGGCCCGGGCCGGACCGCTAATCTGAGATCTCCATCGTCCGCCGGCCACGTCACCTCATCTCGTGCCGGCCGGACCGTTCACCCTCGTCTCGGTGCACCGGACATTAAGCTGGCCCGGCAGCGCAGCGGATTTTCCTCACAGACGGAAACTTGCCGCGGGTTGCATAAAGGGAGTGGGTTACTACCGCTCAGGTAGATACACGGCACGAGAGCCGAATTCGGCCGGTCGAGACCGATGGCTCTGCTGAGATGGGTGGAACTGACCCTGTATGGAGCGAAGAGCCGGTCATAGAGCCGGCTGTGGAAGCCAGACGCAGCCGTCTCCATGTCATCCACCACATGGCACATCGGCCCGCGGCCCCATGACCCTTCCAACGGACTCCACCGTCACGACAAAGGACGGGCACGCAGCGGACAGCGATGGCGGCGTGACGCGTTCTCAGCACTGTACGGAGCACACACCGGCGCCCAGCGCCAGAGGACAAATATGTTGTTTTGGCGCGCGGCGACACGGCGCGTCGGCGCCTGAATGACGGCGGAATGACACGCGGAATGCCGTCTGGTCCGGCCGGGTGCGCGATGAGCCGCCTATCAAACGGTGTATACAGCCGGGCGCGGCCGGGGTGCCTCCGACAACACGCTCGCACGCCGGCAGCACAATACATCGCGACGCCATCGGTGCGCGGCTGGCATTCTAATCCGCCAGCCGGTGCCAGCGCGAGCCCGCAGTCCTCTGGCACGGCACGGAGCGCGTGACACCCGACGGCGGGGTGCAGTGGAGGACAATGCGCGCCCGCCGGCACCCGGCTCTGGCTCGGCTCCAAAGCCCTAGATCAGCTCCAGTTCCCACGGGGAGGGTCGGGTCGGGCCGACCCCTCCGATCACTGCCCCCGGTCAGCTCAGCCTACGGGGCCGTGACCGGGTCGCGGAGAGAGCTCAGACGTCGATGTCGGCTATTCCAGAGACGCGATGAATTTTCGTCGACGAGGCCCGCCGGCCGCAGCGCCGATCTCATCTGCGATTGCAGTCCCTCCGTTTGGCAATCCATTGCCGCCGCTAGCGCCGGCCGTCCCATTCTCCATAAGTTAGTTGGGTCGAGTTTGCCCGCTCATAATAGCGGAATATAAATGAGATTTTTTCTTCGACGAGCTTGCAGAATACATATCGTCGGCGCCGACGTCTGGAAATCTGGAACATGTCGTTTGCCTCAATGGACGCCCTGATTTGGGATTCATGCTCTGTTCGCTCCGCGTCGAGGCGTCCAAGAATGAAAGTGCAGCCGAAAGAAATTCAGGCCGGTGGAGCTACAATGCAGAGGCGGCAGAACGTCGATATTTCTGCGCTCTCCTATGCTTAACACATAATATAACAATACAATAATAACAAAATATAAAGCGCGAACAGATTATATCGGCGCACATTCCAGGCAAGAGACCTCAGTTATCGCGTGGCACGTGGTGGCCGTCCTCACCCCACCCCTAACCCCTACCCCTCCGGGTCTGATGGGTCCGATGGCCGCGCCACGATAGCGTCTCCTCGCTGACTGCTATCCCGACCACTCGGTAAACACATTCGCAAGCCAAAACAGACGGACGGTCCGACCAACCACTCCAGACCGTGCCACGTTCCTCCTGCGAACGGCGGCACGTGACTGGTCATTGGTCACTGTCCGGTCACCCACCGGTCAACACCCGGTCATTGCTCGGTCATTGTTGGGTCACCGCTCTGCTCGCTGTGTACTGTGTAGGTACTGTGTGTAGCATCAGTGCCGGCCTCTGATGATAGACAGACAGGCCGTCGACTGCTCCAGTCTCCGGCGCCTGCTGGTGGGTGCCGCGGAGAGCGCTGACCCCAAATTAGGGAGCGGACGACTAGGGCGCCGACAAATCACCGGTGACGTCAGTGACGAGCCGACCAATGAGCGGCGCCGGCCGGTGCACGGAGACAGGCGGCAAGTTCCCACGGCACAGCGCGTTCTCCCGGCCGCCGCCCGACAATTACACGGCTATTTCTACGAAGCAGTCTGTGCCATTGTCCCGGTCAGCCGGTGGGTACCGAGGCGGGGGAGAGGGAGTGCAGTTCCAGCAGAAAAACCGGCCGATAAAATTGCAGCACCCGATCAGTGCAGCCGCAATACCTGGGCGTGACCAATGGCCCACTGATTGGTGTCGAGACAATGGAAATACTCATACGGGATAATTTACGAGTAACCGTGAATTAATTACGGTTAGCACAACTTCAGCTCACTTCTGCGGGGAGAAAGTACTGCCGGTAAGCGCAATGGTCACTGACAGCCATCATCCCTGGGCCCAGCTCCGTTGGCGACGTTGCACGCAACGATATTGTGCAAGCCTGAAGTTCATCGCGCAGGCCAAAAAGATGGCACGGTAAAAATGGGATGACCTCAATGTGTCTGCTTGTTCCGGATATCACATCATTCCTAATCGGGCGAAATCTCCTCTGCGTGGAGGCATTTCACGACGTGCAAGGAACTGCCGGTTCACAGGTGGTGCAGTGTGCAGTGTGCACAGACGAGTCCCGCCATTCGGACCGACTACCGGTCGTTCTGTGGCCTGCACAGCTGGTGATCGGGTCAGACTGGTAGTTACACACACGGCGGCTCGCACAGACACCTGTGTGTCGTGCCAGAACGGATGTCACCTGTACCACCAGTCGCGCGAGGCTGCAGGTACTCACCGAGTGGGACGTATCGCCGGGGCGTCAGGTCCTCCTGCCAGAGGGCGGAGGCCGCGGACAGACCGGCCAGCACCAGCAGACAGCTCAGTGACGGGACCGCCATGGCGCGGCGGGCGGGCAGACACGGGAGATCGAGCTGTGGTGCGGAGACGGTCTAGCAGCGCATCACTGAAACATACAGAAGCACGGTCATGCACGGTCCGCGGTAAAGACGGCCGGTCACACGAGCCGAGAGATTGATAAGTTAGTGATGAAGCATTCATCGATAATCATGTCTGACTCATAGCTAGCCTGTCCTGTTCTGTTCCTCATGGAAACAATGATTCGTCAGCCACCCCGCTCCTAATCCCCAAGATGCTGTCAGTGTCAGACCCGTTTAGAAGGCAGGCGCCACCTTCAGACACTTTCCGCAGTCGCAGTCTGTCCGGGGAGTCCCAGTCTGTCGCCTGGCGCCGCGCTCTGCATGCTGTTTCCGGATAAAACCCCGATCAGCCATCGCCTATCGGTTTTCCGCCGGCAGCTCGGCGGCAGCTCGAGCGACGGCCAGTCGGCTTCCGCAGCTCTGGCGCCGGTGGGGGCAGCAAGTCTAGACTCCAGCCTCTGGTACACGAAATCTGTCGGCGGGCCGCGTCCCGATCACCTCTGAATGTCGGCCAGTGGTGTCGGCCACTGGTGTCGGGCGAGGTGCCAGAGGTGTCCGTCTGCACGCGCCCGGCCCGGCGCCGCTCGTGCTCGCCCGGACACCGTCCATCACGCCTGCACGGGCGCCCCTCCGCGTGCACCGTGCACCCACTGTGCGTGTATACACAGACAGTAAGTGTGCGTGCAGCCAGCAGTAGGCCATACCGTTCGTTAGCCCGTCACGCGCCCGGCGGGTCAGACGGGTACAAAAACGACGGCCTGATGACGCACGGCTCCGCCCACCGAAGTGGTGTGATAATTCAACCGCGCCAGGCCATAACTAGCAGATATATAACAGTAGGCTGCAATCGACAGCGACTCGGACAGTACACGCAGCGAGGTTTGACCTCCGCTGTTTAGGCTCAGACATAAGCCCCGCTCGCGGGGTCACCGCTCTATCCGGGAAGAGAGGAGCGGGTAGAGACTAGAGACCCCGACCGACCGCCGGCCACCTGCGACCGCCGCAGGATGTCCGATCAGACCACAACAGCTCCCGTAATAACACATGCGGGGCCGTGAGAATACACCGGCCACAGTCTGGCCCGCGACAGGTGCAGTGCGCACCGTGTAGCGCCGCAATCGGCACCAACAGGGGTTCCTGTTGTGGCGAAACCCCATCCCGAATACACCTGCCGGTGGAGCCAGCCGAGCCCCGGCCCGCCGTACTCAAACACAGCCCTCGTGCTCCCGGGCGCCGAGGTCTCCGAGGTCGGGGTGCACTACTCCAAGCCTCGCCTCAGCTCATCCTGTCGACATTGTTTCAGGCTAATTAAATTCCCTCGAGATCCTCATAACGCTGCGTCAAAGTTACTCACTTGGAAAACTTGGGCCACGCCATTGTCTTCGTAGTAATTAGCAAGACGGCGTGACCGTGAGCGATAGCTTTGTTAAAACAAAGCACACGAGAAACCCAGCGACCAAGGCAACAAACATCCCCGCGACCGGCCGGGTCCGCGGCGCCGGGCCGAGCGGGCAGCGCATCTCATAATCAGAGCCGTCCGTGGCAGTGGCAAACAGCCTCACGGTCGACAACAGACCGTCCGCTCCGTCCCTTCTCCGTGCCTGCACCTGGCGAGCCAGGTTTTTAGCCGCGGCGAAAGGGGGAGGGTCGCTGCCGATAGGAGATGGTCGGTGATTTTCTGCCCTCCCTTCCCGCTAATCGCGCGGACGGGCAGGTAGAAAAACAAGTGCCCGCGCCCGGGGCGCCCTGGCGATGGGCGCCCGACCAGCCACGCTCCGGCCGCAGGGCACCGGCCGGAGATGAGGGACCGGCGCTCGCGACCGGCCTGAGTCACAGCCCCAGAGGTCAGCGTGGTAGAACGGAGTTTGGATCCACGACCCGGCACCAGACGCCATTGGTGTCGCAGATATCGCTGAATAAAACGGGACGTATGAATCTCTGAATAAAATGAGACTTATGAATCGCTGAACGACGGGCTTTACCTGCCGACAAGCTGCTACCCAGCGAACGACGACAGCCGCCCCCCGCAGCATCCTCTGGGAACACTGACCCCATCTCTCTCCCACACTGATTATTTACACTCCTGTCTGCGGGCACAGGAGGAGCCGTGTGCACCGGAGGGTATATCTCCGCGTCCGTCAGCGCCAGGTGGAGCCTGTCCCGTCGATCCGCCCCACCGTCCCGTCCCGGGAGACCGGGAACCGTGAAGGTGCCCCGTCACCGCCTCAATGGGACGGTCACGTCCAGAGAGCATTTTCTTGGTCCCCAGGCAGCCGGCTGTGAGGGCCACGGAGCACAGCGGGGGAGAGTGTGACAGGAGAGGAGAGAAGAGGAGAGGGTCCCGCGGAGCAGGAGATGAGGAGAGCCTCAGAGAGGCATAGTACGAGGTTCTGAGGGGCGGCGCTTTGTGAGACGGAGCTCAAAGACCAAGGGTGCAAGAAAGCGACGACCGGGCGCGAGGTCTTTTGTGCATGTTTGATGGTAGGGGTTGGCCGGTCACAGACGGCGCATGGTTTGCCACGTGGCCCGACGAGGGGCCGGACGACCATGGAAATCGGATCTATCTGAAGGCCAGAGGGACCAGCCCAATCAGAGATGCCGAGGTCCCGCAGTCTGAGAGACAGACAGTCTTCCAAACAGAATGCAAAGTATTGCAACAAATTATGCATAAATAGGTACCTAATTGGTTGTTCATGTCACGTAGATGTTGCAGCTATAATTCAACCCGAGGTGAATGTAATATTGATCATTTCGTGTAAAACGGCATTAACAAGGCTAAGTGACGTTACTTGTTACGTTGCTCATTAACATAACTAGTAGTACGTAACAATACTAATTAAAACTTAACCGATACACGGAAGGTATTCACAAGTCTGCTGTGGTACTCGCTAGAATGTTCCTAGAATTAATTAAGCTTGGTACATTTCAGTAAATATGATAACAACCGATCCATAAATAAGCGATGCTCGTTTGCCAGACAGCGTGACAGCACAAACCACAAAACAAAGAAGCTTTATTAGGAAAGATAATTGCTACGGGCCGATCGGTTATCTGTGGATATTTCTGAACGGTAAACCGCAGTCAATCTTCGGCCATCGGTCGATCGGTTGCGGAGGGAAGCTGGACTGAGCTCGGGACCACAGCAGTTATCAGTTAGTCGCCCTGCGGTATAGGCACTTCCCTGGAACCGCACATAGCGTACGACAAAATCCCCGATTAGCCTGCAGCGCCGGCAGCGTTGTCCACCGCGTGGTTACTGCCGCCATGACCGCTCGGCCACCCATGGGAACCCCAAAGCAATCGGTGATACAAAAAGCGGCTGCATGCGGGCGCTGCGGTGCGAGTTTCCTCGATAGTGTGCGGGCCGGCCGCGGGTGCGTGCCGCCCCGGTCCCTCGCGGTGGGTGTGGCCGGGCGGCGGCTCACGCCCCAGACAAACCGCACACAGTCGTGCCGGCCTGCACCGCTAATCAGTGCGCACGGCAGCACCGCAGCAGCGCTCGAGTCCAGTGTTTGACGCTCGGAGCGGCCAGCCCCCAGCTGACAGATGACTCGGGGGTGAGAGCGCCGGCCCAGCCTGTCGACAGCCTCTCCCACGGAACGGCAGACACGCAGCAGTGCCCAGATCGTAGTCCGACCAGTCGACAGGCCCAATCAATCTCAGCGACGCTGCGACGTTACGGCGAATCGGCGCGTGTGACTACGTGTGTGACTCACAGCGGAGTCGGTCCGTCGGCACGTCCGGAGTCGGAGTCACGCCGTGACCCCTGACCTGAGGTTACGCTGAGTCACGGTCACACCGCGGGTGAGTGACCGCCGACCGCCGCCGGGTCGGGCCGTGAGAAGTGGCGCCCCGGGAGCTGTTATTAGGCCCGCATCGGGCGGCCGGCGCCCGCCGAGCGCACCGAATCCGGTGTGAATCTGCATTCAGAGGTGATCGTGCCGGTTATAGGCAGGAAGCGGGCGGTGGTTGAGCCCAGGTGGAGGCCGGGCGCCGGTCGTGAGGCGCCCTGGACCGCTGCGGCTGCCGCCCGGCCGGGGGCCATAAGCGGCCATCAGACGTCGGCGGGGCGGCCGGCGCTAACTTAGGACGGCCGCTGTTTCGATCTGACGGCCGTCCATGGGCGCTCAAGTGCCGGCCGCGGGCGCCGTTCAATGGCCACATCGATTGCACGTCGGGAAGCGCTATAGCGCCGCCTGTCAACAGAGTAGCCCTGCCCGCGGTCAGCGGCGCGCTGCCAGCACAATTGGACGCTAATGGGGCCGTTCAACCGCCCGACTCACCCCCAGGCGTGCACGCCGCTCCTCCCGCCAGTTCCGTTAGGTTTCCACGGCTACCGGAGCAGTTAAGTGCAGAATTTTGACGGTATTCCGTGCACATCGCACAGTATTGTGGCGCGTCATTTCCCGGTTATCTGTTATGGATCTCATGAACTGGTCCGCACAACCGGCCACATGGGAAGCGGGTCATTCTCAGAGAGACGGTAGGCGATCCAGATGGCCCAATGCGCTACCTGTTCACCTAGCTCGGCTTGGGGCGTACCTACCGAAGGAATACCGTGGCGGACCGATGGCGTACCGGTGGCGTGCGGTACCGGTGGCGTACTGAGTTACCACGACAGTCATGAGCGGAGTGCACGGCGCTGCCCGCCAGCGTCTGACCAGTGACCGGGGCTGCTCCGTCGGCTAACTGTACCGGTCGCCGGCGGCCGGGCCGGCTACCGGTCAGCTCCGGAGACCGGCCGCACCTTCAGCCGCGGTCCGAGGACTCTGAGGCTGCCGAGGCCGGTACCGGGGTGTGGCCGCCGCTGTCGTGACGGGATCGTGCAGCGCGCGAGCCGGCTGGGTGCTAGCAGAACGCCTCCGGGGCGGTGCCGAGATGGCCGATACGGTCCGCGGCCGCCCGCTACGGGCACAAATTGGAGCTGCCCAAAGGAGAGAGACAAAGCCGGCTGCGGCTGCACTGGCGCCCATCCATCAGTGACGCCGCCTCGAGAGCGGCGGAATGTCCGGATCGGGGAGGCGATCATGCAC